CCGGGCCCGGCGGCTTCCGCGGTCGGAGCGTCCGTTGTGCCGTGGTTGTGTTGTTGTTGTTGCTGCTGCTGCTGTGGTGCGGAGGATGTCTGCCTTTGTCTTTGTCGCCTCTTTCTCCGTCCGTCTCCGCGGCGGGGCGGTCGGGTTGCGTTGCGCCCGCTGACCTCTGGCGGCCGTGGCCCAGGTGTTGGTGTTGCGTTCGGTGGGAAAGATGGAGTGCGTCTGGACTCCGCGCCGGCCCCGCCGTCCTTGCCGTAGCGACACGTCATGGTGGCTTCGTGGCTGCGCTTCTGGAAGGCGTTGGAGGGCGTAGCTGGGTGTTGCGTGGTTGTGTACGTGTACTGGAAGGTCGGCGTTGTAGACGACGCGTTTGATGAAGCGAACAAAGAACTCGCCCAGGCGGCCCGTGGCGTTGTTGTCCGCCGTCCACATAGCCTCCCTTCTCGCATACGGCCGAGAGGCCGCTGCTGCAGAGGAATGCGGCGATGTCGCCGTTAAGACGATCGTGTCGCCTTTTGCGGATAGATTGGCAGCTTTCCTGGTGGAACGCGCTCTCCGTTGGCTTGTGACATGCCCTGCACGAGGCGCGAGGGTGGTACCCGGCCGCTGGAACTCGGATACGCGCACTGAGGGAAGTCCGGAATTGTGCATCGTTGAGGGTGAGTTCTGGGCAGCTGGGCATCACGGTGAGCCAGTGGAAGGAGCCGGGGCCGCCCGCGCTGAGCTGGAAGGCGCGGACGGTGCGCTTGTGGCTGTAGGGGGTGCGTTCATCCAGGATCTTGGTCAGGGTGCGCTGGAGCTTTCTCCTGGCTTTGAGGACCTCGTCAATCGTGGTGACGCCGCCCTGCTTTTTGTCGCGTGTCGTGCACGCGAGCCGCGTCAGTGCCTTCGACATCTCGGTCCTGAGCGCGTTGCTGGGGAGGCCGCGCTCAAAGGGGTGTCGCGTGCTGTTGAAGAAGTCGCGTATGGCGCCGAGAAAGGCGGCGGGGGCAGCCGACTCCTGGGATCGGAGGGAGGGCCCGCCACGTTGATAGGGCCGCAGGCAGCGTTGAAGCGACTCATCCTTAAGCGGGTTCGTGTGCCCCAACATCCTGGCCAGGGACAGGGCGATGAGCTCGTCGAGCTTGCGGCACGCCTGCATGCAGTGCGCGGTGGTGCGCATCGTGTAGTTCTCCTTGGCCACTACACAGTACCTCAAGAGGACGAGGATGCACTGCAGGGGTAGGTGGCGGAAGGCCTTGTTAGTGGTGGCTGCAGCGCGGTCGACCCTGTCAACGGGGGCGGCGCTGAAGAGGGAGGAGGGGGGGCTCCCGAGGACGGAGGCGGGCGTCGTCACGCAGAACGGCGTGTACCTCTGTGTGTGTGTGTGTGTGTGTGTGTGTGTGTGCGCGCCACACATGTAACGAAACCCGAACATATAAAATCCGAGCGGAAGGGTAAGAGCGAGTTTGGGGGGGGGCGCGGGGGTAGGGGGGTGGGTGCGAGGTTAGGAAAAAAAAAGAGCAGAGGGAGTGCAGTAGTTAGGGTATAGGCATGAAGTGACGCAGGAGACGTCGGCATCGAAGACAGGCCAGACACAAAGCACAAGATAGGTGAGGGAGATGACGCAAGTGAGAAGAAAGAGAGAGACAAGACATGGCGACCAGAGTTACCAGTCGGGGGACATCAAGACCATGGGTGTCGACCGCTACACGTCGAGCAATAGCAGAGAAGAAGAATAAACGATATCAGCACAAAGACAGAGCACGCTGATTCAGAGCACGAGTGAGACAGTGACGGATGTGGATGATTGCTAGGGTGAGGAACCTCATAGCTAACGAACGAGCTAAGTACATTAAGCTAAGCAAACGGCTAAAAAGGCTATGTTAAAGCTGTATAGCCCAGATTAAAATGACCGCAAAAACCCGTAAGGTCTGACGATACGAAAAGTATATAGACACGATCACAGCA